ATGATGGAGTCGATGCCCGTGTCTTACGCCAGCACCATGGGCGGTATGATGGGGCATTACTTTGGCACCGGGAGTGCAGCAGCCATGGGTGTGGGGCAGATCCCCCCCTCGCACCACACGAACCCCCATGGGCAGCAGCAGCCCCCTCAGCAGCCCCCGCAGCAGCCAGAGGCCAGTCACCCCCATCAGCAGACAACCCACACTTCTCACACACCTGCGCAGAACACACCTGAGGTGAGTAGTTGTTAAATAAAACGTGATACAAATATACAGACGGCTCAGTTAATCCTGATTCGATGTATAGTTTGATTATATAATTTCTTAATGTAGTAGTGACTGTATCGCCAGTCTTCGCATGACGACATTGCAAATTGTTTAATTAATTAATCGCAACAAATACGTTGACCCCGTGACCTTGTGAGCGCGGCATGTACTGAGCCATGTGTTCCTTCCGCCGCAGACACTAACAGCGAGCAACCCCCATCTCCGCCAGGCCGCACTCGTCACCCCCGTGTCGACGCCTTCGCCCGCGGACTCAACGGCTTCAGGATGCTCCCCAAGCGGCTCCTCTCAGAAGAAGGAGAACGGCTCTAAGGAGGACCATATCAAGCGCCCCATGAACGCCTTCATGGTGTGGTCGCGCATGCAGCGCCGCAAGATCGCCCAGGACAACCCCAAGATGCACAACTCGGAGATCTCAAAGCGCCTCGGTGAGTTGACGATCGGCTTTTGCGGCGAAGCAGATAAAAATAAGTAGTTGTCATAGCAAACTTTACATATTGTAGTATATGAGAACATATTTTTTACAGTCAAGTAATAAATAATATTTTTCTCTCTTCAATAACTTCAGGAGCTGAATGGAAACTCCTGACGGAGGCCGAGAAGCGCCCCTTCATCGACGAAGCCAAGAGGCTCCGCGCCCAGCACATGAAGGACCACCCCGACTACAAGTACCGCCCCCGCAGGAAGCCCAAGACCCTGAAGAAGGACGGCTACCCCTACAGCATCCCCTACCCTGCAGTCTCCATGGACCCCCTGCGTGGAGGTGCGTTTTCGCTGCCGTCAGCTTTGGTGGCCTTGAGAAATTTTCTTATTTTTGTTCTTTCGGGCTCTGTAAATCGGCTGGGGGGTGGGGGTGATAAGTCTTCGTTGTGGAATTAGGATTCTATCAGTCTAAAACAAATTGATTAATATTTGAATATCTGAAAGAGGAATTCAGCAAGTACCGGCAATTCATAATTGCAGTACATAAATACAATATATACACTCATCCGTATCTGTACTTATATATGTTTTAGTGTTCAGCGCTTTTAAAGTCGATCGAATAATTTGGTTATATCTCTAGAATACAAATGTTTAGAGAACAAAATGCATTAACATAGTGCATAGTCCATAAAGAAAATTGGGTAAAGAATGTAACATCAGCATAATACCCGGTCTTAAGATGCACTTATCGGCCTCATATAGATCCATTCGCTCAGTCAACATTGTGCAATCTTATCACTGTTTGTGTTGGCGTTCGGAAATCTTTAGCGAGATCTAAAACATGTCCCGAGCAAATATTCGCAACCAGTGATCGTAACACCGCCGTTATGTCCTTCCAAAATACCACAAAAGAGAGACTATAGTATTGTTGCATGTCCGAGCCATTGTCCGTCCCGTGAGTATTACCGACAAGAATGAGCTGAACATCCATTTACCTTCGCGATCGAAACTACAAACACGAGCATTACGCTGATATGGACAGCGACTTGCCCAGCGGGACGCCGACATCGGCCGTTCCGGCGCCGATGCGCGGATGCTCCGGCCGGTGGCTGCGTGGACAGTGGAGTGCTAGGAACACTTACTTATCGGGATTAAATAGTGGGTTAGATTAATTTTTAAAAATAGGGTACACACACACACACACACACACACACACACACACACACACACACACACACACACACACACACACACACACACACATACACACATGCACACATACATATTTGCACATATATTTCCAAGATCACCGCAGGAAGAGAATCCACAATGTTTCTCGCCGTTTCTCTTTCTCTCCCGAACACAAGCTAATATCGATTCCAGCGGACCTTCGTGTGTGTCTCCCTGATTAGGAATTCACGTTCCAATGGCTGTTTCTTTTGTGGCTTAACGTTGGCGGTCTTGGGTAATGGTGTTTCAATTACAGCCACGGGGGGAGGGGGAGGGGAGGAGCGGGGGCCCTCCGATGGGTGGAAGGAGTTCGATAACGCTCTGTCGCTTGTGCAATTGTTGGTCCGGAAAATGTATAAAGTGGCTGTGGTGGGCGAAGGGCTTTAATTATTCACGACCTCCGCTCATTGCGTGTGTCCGTCCCATCGGCGAGGCGCGTCATTACACATTGTTATACACCCGTTGCTCGCTCACGCTGATCAGATTTCTATATTTTTATGGATTTGCCGCTGGGCCAGTCTATTGTGCCCGTGTGTGTTCTGCACGCACAGGAAAGTGCACTGTGCATTCAGACACCATTCTTGTACTGGGCTATTTATAAGGCTCTTCCAAACTGCTTTCTGTTTTAGCTGCTTTATGAATGACGAAATGTATTTGCTTCTTTGGTTCGCTTCAGTAATAGAAATTTAGATTTGAGTATTATTCCAAGATTTTTTTTTATCGCTTAACTATTCTATTGCTCAAATGTTAATTAATTTCAGTTTGAAAGCATTCCTCACCTCGTGGCTACGCTTTAAACCCGCCTATTCTCTGGGAAACATATTGCCTTGATTACTACGTCCTCATCGCATCCGATTGACACTCATGGCTAATTATCGCCCCGCCTCTTTGTCTCCCCATTCATTAATTCTCCCGCCGCCCCATATCGCGTTCCAACCCTCATCCTCATCTCAGCCGCGTCGGGACACCTCTCAGCCTCCCATCCCAGCATCCCTTCCCAACCACAACCTCCCTCCTCCCTCCCTTCTTTCCCCTTCCCCTCTGCAACCTTCCTTCTCCCTTTCTTATTCCCCTTCTCCTCTTTTACCTCCCTTCTCCTTCCCTCTTTCTCCCTCCAAATTCTCCCTTCCTCCGTTCCTCTTTCCCCCCCCTTTCTCATTCTGCAACCTCCCTTCCTTTCTTCCCACTTCCCCTCTCCCCATCCTCCGTGCCTTCCTTTCTTTCCTCCCTCCCCCTCCCCATTCTACAACCTCCCTTTCCGTTCCTCTCCCCCCCCCCACTCCATACACAACCCCCTGCCGACAACAACAACAACCGTATCACCTCACCATGCATCATACGTGTAGAATAACGAATGGGTCTTCGGCCACAATGCTAAGAGTAAACGCCGTATTGTCCGCTCCCACAATGGGCTATAATTGTTATTGTTGGTCCGTGATCGGGGAGTTTTAGTCGCATCGGAAATTAAATCAATGGCGATCAATGGTAGATCTTATGCCCGTCTAAAGCGTGTTTTTTTATTGTTATTGTTATTATTGTTGTTGTTTTTTTGTTGATAGTATTTGTCATCGTCGAAAGTCATCCGGTGATCTCAAAAGAAATATTGTTGCGTCGTGATTAAAGTCTCTTGATTAATCACGAGTGATAATCCGAGAGGAGGTGGTGGGGGTAAACACACAAACAAAATACCTTCTCAGCTGCGGGTATGCCCCACTCGACGACACTTACACCCTAACGCGCACGCCCACACACACACACACACACACACACACACACACACACACACACACACACACACACACACACACATTCTCTCTCTCTCTCTCTCTCTCTCTCTCTCTCTCTCTCTCTCTCTCTCCTCTCTCTCTCTCTCTCTCTCTCTCTCTCTCTCTCTTTTTCTCTCCCCTCACTCACTCACTCACACTCACTCACTCACTCACTCGCACTCACACACTCAAACCCAAGCGCCACAGCAAGTTTGGAAGGAGTATTTAAGGCGTTAGTGTTATGGCGCTAAATATTTCAAGCGGACGGAGGAACAAAGCGCCATGATTGAGAGTATTAGAAAGGCCACAATAAGCAGCCGGCGGTCTATATCGATCATTTGGTTACTCGTCGCCATCGTCGTCCTGTGGGGGGAGGGGGTGGGGGGGTGATGAGGGAGGTGATGGGTGGGGGCGATCGATAAATTTGGGATTGGCTTAGAGGTGTGAGAAGGTGGGGGGGAGGGGGACAATAATCCTATATTTCGGTTTAGATGTAAATATATATATATCTTTTTTTTTTTTTTTGACGTGAAGAACCTTTCTGTTCAAAAGAAGAGAACTTTTCTTTTACATAAATATGCGACAAAAATATTTTCCTATTTTTCGTTTGGAAATTGCGTCAAGACATAACCATTTTTATTCCGATATTTGTCTTTTCAATGATGTTGATAGCTACGATTGCATTCAATTGCATCTATCTGATTACCTGATTACGTCTTGATAACATTTGTTCCTTGTCTCCAAGGATTTATCGCCGGTTTTATTAATATTAACATCGTCAGTAATATCATCGATTTTAGTATTCATCAAAGGTGTGTAAGATAATCGTCAGCATTTACTGTCAGTTATATCGTGTTCTATTACAGTCTCTCATGGCAGGTTTAAAGAGCGTATTTGCATAATAATGTCGATATTTGATTTGATATGCATTATGGCCCGTCAGAAGCTAATTTCATTTGTTGGCATCAGATCACACTTGCAACGGGACATGGGGTTAAAATCATCATTGCTTTTTTCTTTATTTTATTTTATTTTATTATTTTCAAGGGGAATTCTTCTTTCTGTTAAGAGTTGATGTGATAATCTTAAGAACTGGAGGAGACCAGAGCCATTAACATTTAAAAAAAATCTCAATCCCACTCTATCTCCTCTGCTCTGCACCTTTTCCCTTACCTCTCCCCCTCTTCCCCCCACCTTTCCTCTCTTCTCTTCTTTCTTCCCCCTTCCTTCCATCTTCCCTCTCCTCCCCTCCTTCCCTCTCCTCCCCCTCTCCCCGTCCCCTTCCACCCTGGTTTTGGATCTCGCCGTCGCTTCCTCCGCTCCCAGCAAACTATTTAATTCCATTAGCGAGACCATAATTACACTCCGGCGTGAGACAATCGCGAGCTGAGGCTGCTGAGTGTCCCCTCCATTGTGGCAGCTCCAGTGAATGATGGGAGAGGGTGTAAGAGGGGAGGGGCGGATGTCCCCTCCTTCCCCCCTACCTTGCATCCTCTTTGAACCCTTACCCTCCCCCTCCCACCCACTTTTCCAGCTTGCACGTGTATCCTCTTCTCCGAACCCCCTAACCCCCTCCTCCTCCCCCCATCTTACAACCTCTCCCATATTCTGCTACCCTTTCTACCATTGACCCCTGCCCCCCCTCCCCCTCCCCGACACGTGCTGACACACTCGCACTAAACTCCGTGTCCTCTCTCATGGCTCTCAGGCATCATTATCACACATTGTTAGTCCTCGAAAGCGAAAGCTTTAAATGATCCCTCGATTTCTGTTGCTGACGGACGCTTTTCTTCTTCCGCAGGTTTCCCCTCGCAGCTGTCTCCCTACTACTCCGCCAGCGCCGCCGCAGCTAACTACGGTTCCATCACTGCTGCACACATGGCCGCCGCCGCTGCAGCTGCAGCTGCCGCTCAACAGCAGCTCACTACACAGACTTCGCAGGCCAGCCCCGTCGGCTACGGCTACGACGCCTCCAAGTACAGCAGCTACATGACCGGAGCCTCGGGTTACCCCATGAGCATGTACGGATCCGCCGCCGCCGCCTCCGATCCCAAATACGGCGACGCCAGCAAGGCCGCGGCTGCGGCTGCCGCGTCCGCCGCCGTCGGAGGCTACGAAGCCGCCAAGTCGTACCTGGACAGCAGCAAGTATCTGTCGGACAAGTACGGCCTGGAGAAACCCACCTCGTACCTGGACAAGGTCGCTCAGGAGCCCAAGGACACAGAGATGAAGAGCGCCTCGCCGGGCGTAGGCGGCGTCAACCCAGGCTCCATGGGCGGCTACGGGTCGGCCGCGGGCGCCCTCAGCAACTACTACAGCCAGGCAGCAGGGAGCTCGGCCTTCCAGCCTTCCGGAGCCCTGAGCCAGGGCGTTCCCTCCACCATGGCCGGCCTGCTGCAGCCATCGCAGGTGGCCTCGTACACCAACGCTCAGTACCCCCCCGTCGGGGCCGACTACCGGAGGCCTTTGTCCGTGATCTTCTAGAGCGCGCGCTGCGTGACCCGACGGCGGAGGAAAGCTGTTCTTGTTGACTGTGTGTGGTCAGTGCAGTGGTAGTTGGACCCCTTCCTGTACATACCTAGTCACGGGGTCTTGTACATATGTAAATACGGGCATGTTAGACGTCTTTCACGGAATTTATTTATGCAAGTGCCTGGATGTTGCTGTTGATCTTGTTGGTTGATGCTTACTGAGTTCCTGTCCACAGTACAAGCTAAGAGGAGTGCCTGGGAGAGCCAGAAAACCATTGTATTCGGCATTACGGTATACCTAGAAGTGCATGAACAATTTAGACCTAAAAAACACAAAAATTCCCCACAAAAAAAGATTAGAACACCGACAACAATTACTGCTTGTTGGAAAGAGAAAGATGGCTCTCGGTTTGTTAGAGAAGGTATAGAAGTGTATTCCTTGGTACAATTACATAGATCTGCTTTCGGTTGTGTGGTGTTGTTATGCGTAAAAATACATTCTTTTTGTTGCATGGTTCCCAACGCGAGCCTCTTGTTGTGGGTGCGCCTTGACCGCCCTCTGCCCAGTTATGTTCCTAGCCCAAGTGCTGCCATCTGCAGGCGTGTCTGCGAACACTCGTGATGGATTCAGCTGTAACAACGGGTTCTCTCATGTAGTTATATATTCATCAATAAATTAAACCTAAATGAATATTTGCTTTTTTACCCTTTCTATGTCTTTTCACTAAACAAAGAGAAAAATAAAGATAAAGGAAAATAAAGAAAAAGAGATGGAAGCTAAAAAGAAAATGAACTGAATATATGGTTTATCATCATATACAACTTTCCAGAAACTAAATAACGACATATTTCTTCAAGTTGAGACAACGCAGGAACAACGACCGAACACAAACTCCACTCCCAGAAAACACAAGCATTTAACCCAATTACCACACTGTTTGGATGAAGCCCCATTACCATTTTTGAAGAAGGTTCCGCTGCCCCCTTATCTGTTTCACCAATTATCGCCAGTCAATCAACAAAGCGCAGAGAGGAATAATCTTAATGGAGCGCCGAAACACAAAAGGACAAGAGAGCAACAACCGCCATAAATCACAATGAAAACCGGGGGCTTATTTTTCCAGGGAGCAGGAGATGGAGTGTGTTTACAATGATGCTTGTGGAGGAGGGGGCTATCTCTGCGGATGCTGGGAGTCAGGGCTCTCTCGTGCGCGTCCCTTTCTCTCTCTCTCTCTTTTTCTCTCTCTCTCTCTCTCTCTCTCTCTCTCTCTCTCTCTCTCTCTCTCTCTCTCTCTCTCTCTCTCTCTCTCTCTCTCTCTCTCTCTCTC